TTGCTGACAGATGGTGGTGAACCATTAACTTATGAAGAATCCTTACAAGATGGAAACTCGAGCAAGTGGGAGTTAGCCATGAAGGATGAGATGGAGTCATTGTTGAAGAACAAGACTTGGGAGTTAACTACACTGCCTGAAGGAAAAAAGGCTTTGCAAAACAAGTGGGTTTACAGAGTAAAGACTGAGCATGATGGCAGCAAACGGTTCAAGGCAAGACATGTTGTAAAAGGGTTTCAACAAAAGAAAGGGATCGTCTATTTTGAGATATTTTCTCCAGTTGTGAAGCTTACAACAATCAAAGTGGTCCTGAGAATAGTAGCCACAAAAAAACCCCATGCAAAAACATTAAAGCATCCTCGTGATCAGTCATTAATTACTTACAGAGGTCATTCAATCTTGCGCACGCTCATTCGCTGTTACTTCTCTCCAGAATATAGGTACTGGTCAATTAAATTTAAATTTGGCTTTGTTGCCTCAGTGCAGATACGTGTTTTAATTTTGAGCCATTAAAATTCATGTTCTCTGTCTTGAATTTCCCATGAGCCAGGCCTGATGTCAGTCAAAGGATTGACCCAAGGTGTTATTCTTCCTGTTTATCTGGATTTACTGTTCATATTACCCTAAAATTAGCTTAGCAGAAGCACATAAATAACTTGGAGTCTTATTACCTAGTTGGCAGCTGTAAGTTTTCGATCGGTAACATGTTTTACTGTGTCAATATTTGGCGAAGTAAGATAAAATGTGTGTTGAAATTAGCTTCTAGGTGAAATGGGACTGGACCTATCGAATACACTGCCTGTTCAACAGTTTGTCAGATTTGGGACATTACTTTATCATCGTGATAATTTGTTTCTATGTTCTGATGATTGCAAGGGTTTCACCAATTTGATGATCACTTGTTGCAGCACCGGCCAGAAGTACATCTACACTGGATCTAGTGATTGTTCTGTTTATATTTATGATCTGGTATGTACTTGAATCAGCGCACTTCTTCAAAATCAACGTTGTATTCCTTTGGTAATGTTTTATTTCATAGGTGATGCAGCCAAATGAGGTAAGTTCGATATTGTTTGTAGGTGAGTGGAGCCCTAGTTGCAACACTTGATCATCATGAAGGTCTTGTAAGAGATTGTAATTGGCATCCTTTTTACCCTATGATCGTCAGCTCTTCATGGGACTGTGTCCTTGCCAGATGGGAATTTCCCGGCTGTGGATAAGCACCTGCTCCATCAAGATGAATGTCTACAGAGGTGGGTTCTCTAGGAATTCGATAACTCAAAAGTTGATTGATTGTTGCATGCATGATTTTTGTTCTTTTCTCCATAGCATGTGATCTATTGCCTTGTGCTTGTAAGGGTCCCACACGAGGTCACTGCCATTAATAAAACGAAATTAAACGTGCAGTTGGTGAAGGTAAAGAGCATCAGTTTCTTTTTTGTTTGGTGTCATTGATGCGGCCTGTATATAAACCTAATTGTGACAATGAGTTCAGCAGCTTCATAACATTGTTTCTGGTTACAAACTGCTGGGTGCTGCAGCCACCTTTCTATATTTAGCTAGCTCGTTACACTCTTGCAGCCTGCACATTCTGTAATCATACTTGCCCTTTTCCCCTTCAAATAAAGTCATAATCATGTAATGTTCGTCCATTTTCCTGCCTTGGAATGAAATGGAATAATAATACTTTTCATTCTTAAAAAACTTTGAAACTGTTCTTGAGGGCAATTCGAATTCTCATTGAAATTTATGAAAAAATTCAGCTCAAAATGCTAGCATAAATGAAGAGTTTTTGTTAGAGGTGAAAATAAGCTAACGCAGGGCTGATCATCATAAAGAAATCTACCTTATATTAAATAAAATAGAGGCATATTTTTATATATCATTATAAATTGATATAAATTAAAAAAAAAAACAAATCATATGATATAAATATTTTTTTAATTTATAATGATGTTATATTTTTCATTTAAAAAATCATATATATATATAAACATATTTAATAAATTTTTTTTTGTTATGAAAAAACACTATGTTGATTGCTTATATAATTTTTTAAATTTTTTTTATTTATATATAAATTTTTTATTTTTTAAAATTAAATAAATCTTTTATTAATAATCCACTACAATTTTATGTGAAGAAAATATCATGTAACGCTACTATTATACATATATGTAAATGATATATGTAAATGGTGGTGCGGGGGCAATCAATGTTTTTCCAAAAGTATTATGACACTTAAAAGTATTATGATTATTATTGTAATTTATAGGTTTTTTTATATTTTTATATTTTTTTTAATTTTTTCTTTTTTTATTTTTTTTTCAAAATTACTTTTTTTTGTAACTTTCATTTGTTTTCTTTTAATTTTTAATTTATTTTTGTTGATTTTATTATATAAATATTAAGCTAGTTAAAAAATTCGCTTTGTAATTTTTTTCTTTTAAAATACTCTAGATTTTTATGGTGTTTTTCCATATAGTTTTTTTATTTTATTTTTTAAAATTATATTTGTTGATTTTTATTTTTTAATATTGAGCTGATTGAAAATTTAATTTTGTAACATAATGGATTGATATAGTTTTTCCTCACATGGTTTTTTTTTCTAATTTTTTGTCTTTATTTTTTGTAATATTTTTTTTTAAATTATCTTTGTTGATTTTTTAAAAAAAATATTGAGTTGATTAGAATTTAACTTTGTAATAAAGGTTAATAATATGAGGAAAACACTGTAATTTTTCTTACAAAACATTGTGGATTGCTAAAATGGCTCTCCACATGGGTTTTTTTATATATATTTTAAAATTATCTTTATCAATTTTATATTTTTAACTTTATTAATTTTATATTTTTAATATTGAACTGTTTGAGAATTATAATTACAAGTCATTATAAATAAAGCTAAATCATATGGGGAAGTACTGTACCTTTCATTACAAGACATTATGAATTACTACAGTTTTTCAAATATAATTTTTTTTGTTATTTTTTTCTAAAATTGTCTCCGTTGATTTTTATTTTTTAATAGAGTTGATTAAGAATTTAACTTTGTAATTTTTTTTTAAAACACTGTGAATTGTTGCAATGTTTTTTTAATATGATTTTTTTATATATTTTTTTAAATTATCTTTATTGATTTTTTTTAATATTAAGTTGGCTAAGAATTATAATTATAATAAAGCTAAATCATATAGGGAAAGCGTTATAGTTTTTCTTATGAAACATTGTGAATTGCTATAATATTTTTTTAAATGGTTTTTTATTTTATTTTATTAAGAAAAACACTATAATTTTTCTCACAAAACATTATCAATTGCTACAAATTGTTTTCTCATGAGTTTTATCTTTGTTGGTTTTTTTAATATTAAGTTAATAGAGAATTTAGTTTTGTAATTTTTTTATTTTTTATTAACAAAAAAATTAAATCATTTGGTGAAAAATATTATATCTTTCTTTATAAAAAACTATAGATTGCTACAAATCATTTTGTTCAATCTCTAAATTTTTTATCACCAATACAATTTTTTTATCGTAAAATATTTTTATTATTATATATTTAATTTCTATTATTTATTTAATACTAATTTATAATTATAATATTATTAAATATATTTATTTTATAAGCTCACATAAACACAATACCCTATCATCTCGTAAATTATATATAGAGATCTACTTGAATTAACTGTTATAAATTATATAAGAAGGTTTCTTCAACATTTAGAATACCGTTGACCCCAGCCACCCAACAACCAGTAATTGACGAAATTACACAAGAATCGGTAGTCAAGGGGCAAAAATAAAAAATGATTAAAAGCATCAAATAATTCTCCTGGAAAATCTAAGTACCCCAGCCGATAATCCTTCCACAATTCTCCAATTTTAGCCTCACACGCACACGGTGGTTTCAGTCGGTTCCAATTTCCAAGACGACGGCAACACCAAAAAAAGAAAAGTAAGAGAAGATGGCATCAGCGACAACAAGAGTGATATTTAGGGTAGTGGTGGGGATTCTAGCCATCCTCGTTCTCTTCTACGTGGGTCGTCCTCTCTACTGGAAAATCTCCGCTACTGTTCAAGAGATCCGCGAGAACAAACGCACCGTCAAACAAGGTCTGTCTGTCTGTCTGCATCATCATCATCTCCTTCATCTAATCATTTTTGAGATTCCGAATCTGAATGAATTGTATTGTTATTATTTTTCACAGGCATTTCTCAGATTGTCTTCGAAGCCCAGAAATCAGTTGGCTGGTTTCACGATGAGTCTGGTTCTGGAGCCCGCCAGAATCGGCGAGTCAGGTCGCTCTTTTAATTTTTAAACCCTTTTCTTTTATTTTTTAATTAGTGCTTAATAAATCATTATTACTATTACTATTACTATTATTATTATTATTATTATTATGTGTAAGATCTGCTTCTTTGGTATACTGTAATGGTTGGCGAAGGGTTAATAAATCATTATTACTATTACTATTACTATTATTATTATTATTATTATTATGTGTAAGATCTGCTTCTTTGGTGTACTGTAATGGTTGGCGAAGGGTTCTATTGAAATGATAAAAGAGTAACTGAAGTAATTAGAAATAAATACATCAATAAAATTATCAGTGCTTGCTTTTGCTTGATTTAAGGTGAATTGCATTGATGATCCTTGAATTTGATTAATTGTAATTTATTGCTAATATTTGTCAGAACTCTTCAGATACACCCATTTATTTATAGATATCATCTTTAGCACTTAGGCTTGATTCATTCATTAATCCACAACATTGCTGCCTGCAAATGCTAGAATGATCTTTGGAGCATTGCTTTGCTTTTTGTTGAGTGAGAGAAAATAGCATCGGTCAGCCCGGGTCTACTTGGTTAATTTGGTCTGAGTCTACTTGGTTAACTTGGTGATGTATCAGAGCTAGGTTTTACTTCAAAATGTTTTTTTTTTTTTATTATTATTATCAAAACAAAATCATTTCGGTATAAAAAAATCTTTGAATAATGTTGCCAAGGGAATATTTTTTTAAAAAAAGCATAACTTGGGTTACCTCGCATCGATAGCTAATCTA